CGCAGGAAAATAGTCAACGGGATGTGTAGGTGGGTCAAGTGAGGCCACAGGCAGAGATATGGTCATCTAACAGGCAAAGGATTGGTCAAGGCAGCAGACAGCAACGTGGTCAATAAACAGGCCAGGGTTAGTACAGGGAGGTAAGCAGAGACAACGATGCACTGGTGTGGCAGTGATCAGGAACACTGTTGCTGGCTGCACTGGTCTGGTGATGCTGGGATTGGTGTGGTGGTGATTAGGAAAACTGTTGCTTGCTGCACATTGTGGTGGCAATCAAGAACACGGATTCTAGCTAGACTGTGGCTGTTGTGGGGGTGATCGGAGAACTGTTACTGGCTGCATTTTTAAGGCTCATTCACATGTGAGGTTGAGGGGGGGAGTGTAAAACCTTACTGTTTTACCACCCCTCAACTTCTACCCCTTTAGCTGCAGAGGCAGTGGCTGGGGGTGTATACACGCCATGACTGCAGTACTTTGCTTCACAAATGTGGCAAGAATTATGCCCTCTGTATGCCTGCCAATCACAACAATGAGGATGCTTGTGCAGAGTCCAAGGGGTTAAAGCAGGTGCTGAAGAGGCGCTACTATGCCTTTGATCACTACCACAGCAGTTCCTACCACAGTGACACTGTAATTGTCCTAGTGATCTCTCTCTTCCCTCCCCACTGCAATGTGACTCGTTAGTGTTACAAAGGTCTCAAGTGTGAATGGGGAGCAGGTGTGTTAAATTTGGTGTTATAGCTCTCACTCTCTCATACTGGTCACTGGATGTTCAACATGGCACCTCATGGCAAAGAACTCTCTGAGGATCTGAAAAAAAAAGAATTGTTGCTCTACATAAAGATGGTCTCTAGGCTATAAGAAGATTGCCAAGACCCTGAAACTGATCTGTAGCATCGTGGCCAAGACCATACAGTGGTTTAACAGGACAGGTTCCACTCAGAACAGGCCTCGCCATGGTCGACCAAAGATGTTGAGTGCACATGCTCAGCGCCACATCCAGAGGTTGTCTTTGGGAAATAGACATATGATTGCTGCCAGCATTGCTGCAGAGGTTGAAGGGGGATGGGGGGGTCAGCCTGTCAGTGCTCAGACCATATGCCGCACACTGCATCAAACTGGTTTGCATGGCTGTCGTCCCAGAAGGAAGCCTCTTCTAAAGATCATGCACAAGAAAGCCCGCAGTTTGCTGAAGACAAGCAGACTAAGGACATGGATTACTGGAACCATGCCCTGTGGTCTGATGAGACCAAGATACACTTATTTGGTTCAGATGGTGTCAAGCGTGTGTGTGGCGGCAACCAGGTGAGGAGTACAAAGACAAGTGTATCTTGCTTACGGTCAAGCATGGTGGTGGGAGTGTCATGGTCTGGGACTGCATGAGTGCTGCCGGCACTGGGAAGCTACAGTTCATTGAGGGAACCATGAATGCCAACATGTACTGTGACATACTGAAGCAGAGCATGATCCCCTCCCTTAGGAGACTGGGCCCCAGGGCAATATTCCAACATAACAACCCCAAACACACCTCCAAGATGACCACTGCCTTGCTAAAGAAGCTGAGGGTGAAGGTGATGGACTGGCTAAGCATGTCTCCAGACCTAAACCCTATTGAGCATCCTCAAACATAAGGTGGAGGAGCGCAAGGTCCCGAACATCCACCAGCTCCCTGAAGAGGACTCCAGTGGCAACCTGTGAAGCTCTGGTGAACTCCATGCCCAAGAGGGTTAAGGCAGTGCTGTAAAATAATGGTGGCCACACAAAATATTGACACTTTGGGCCCAATTTCGACATTTTCACATCGACACAATTCTAACATTTTTGGCTCTATACACCACCACAATGGATTTGAACTGAAACGAACAAAATGTGCTTTTAACTGCAGACTGTCAGCTTTAATTTGAGGGTATTTACATCAAAATCAGGTGAATGGTGTAGGAATTACAACAGTTTGCGTATGTGCCTACTAAATGTAGACAAGAGTAGAAAACAAACGATCCCTGAAACCCCATCTCTTCAGACAAGCCTTTAATGCCCCCACCTAATATCTGTACTTTATTTTCTCCATCAGCTCATCCCCCACAGTTACTACCTTTTTTTATCAATCAACCCTCCCTCTTAGATCCCTCCTGCTGCATTAAATTGTATTGTAATGTCTGCCCTCACATTGTAAAGAGCTGCGCAAACTGTTAGCGCTATATAAATCCTGTATTATAATAATCACATGATACAAAGCTGCTGTGATTGGTCCTGGTACCATGTTATCACTGTGACCAATCACAGAGATGACAGTAGTAAACAATGGCATCATGAAAAACAGCCCTTGTATACTACTAGTAATGACTGGTCACAGCAACCACATGGTACCAGGGCCAATCACAACAGCCCTGTACCCTGATCTGTGATCCGCTGTATCCACAGATCATGCAGTCCTCCCAAAACAATGTTAGTCCCGCCCAGATGTTCCTTTACAGTGGCCGGGCAGGAAGTAGTTAAATTAACATTTTTGTTCCCAGAATTCATCTTTAATCCCTGCCAGTGTGTGAAATGTTTCAGATTATGAGGATACTGGTGCGGATGTACTTGAACCATCTAGAACAATAAAGCTGTTGATGGAACTTAATACTGGTATACAGTGGTTGCTCCTTCCTTTGGATTGCTTGCAGTAAATGCAGATGAGCTCTGAAGCAGGATCGGAAGGGGTCTTAGAGCATGTTGCTTTGTTTTTCTTAAAAAGTGTTTGCTAGCAGAACAAGGTGCTTGTGATACAGCATCATTTTTACTCTGAGCACCTTTTAGGCTAGGTTAGGTTTACTCTAAGACATTAAAAATGCTACTTACCGTGACAGAACCTTGTAAGCCAGCCTCTTTTCTTGCTTGCTCCAGCCAAGCCTGAGCCGCTTCTGTGCTGCTCAGCTCTGTAATCTGAGTAGCTGAAGGTTTATAGGGGGACTCTTCTATTTGTAATGGCTGTTTTTTAGATTCCAAATACATGGTTTCTGCTGGAAAGCAAAAGTACAAGCTTAGAGTCTTAAAACACATGCATAAACAGATGGTGCAAAATGACCTGTGCAAGATGAAAACCTCAGTATACATTTATGCTAAACATACCCAAAACTTGTTCCTCTATTAGTAAAATCTGCAGCTAGCCAACAATAACAGCAGTTGTGGCGTCAAGGACTCAGCAAATCAACTAAACAAAGTGGCTGACTCTTCGGTGCAAATCGGCCAATGCTCCCAACAAACATCACTTTCAGTTAAATAATTCTGAACAGAATAGGCAAAAAAAGAAAGGAGCCTAATATTAAATTACAGGGTTCAGACATGAATGTAATTGTTTTCTTAGTGTGCCAAAATTCAAAAAACATACCCATGTTCAGTGAGTAATAGATTCACTGTATGATTTTAGGTTACCAATAGATATTCACCTACCTTGTTTGGACTAGGTGAAGCAACAGGTTTGCTAGATAGCAAGCAGCATCGGGAGCTAATTCTCTTCTCTACACTCCTCTGATCTACCACAGCTACTCAAAAAAACAAATATTTTCAAGATAAGGGAAACGCATGAAAATACCCCCTTATTTCCCTCTATGCACTGCTCTGTGCCAATTGAAGTGGCCAAACACCAGGCCCGATTGCTGTCAAGCAAGGTGTGGGAATGTGTGTGAATAATCATGAGAAAGTTTCACCTTTGTTGTTAAGATATTTTGGGGAGTTTTTGTTGTGTATCAGGGCAGCAGGGTAGTGTGGGGGAAAAAAAAAAAACACAAAAAAAAAGAAGGGAGGTATAGATTACTGGTGGAACTTGCTATCAAGAAAACCTGTTACCCTGTCTAAACCAAAAAAGTTACACATTTGTTCTAGAAAATGAGCGTATAAATGTTTAGCCAAGAAAGAACACTTGAACTAACATTTTATATTCAGTAGTGGTCACAATCCTGAACACTTGTACGAACATTTTATATTCAGTAGTGGTCACAACCCTGATAACCACAGTTTTAAAGACTTAGATAAACAAAAGATGATTAGAGGCCAATAGCAGATTGGGCAATAATCTCAAGTCTATGGGTTAGCGTTAGGTAATCTCGCCAGACTGAGTTTGCAGAAAGTGATTAGACAGGTAAGAAAAACCTTGACTGGTATTTCCAACTGAAGAAGAACCCCTTCCTGTTCCAACATGAGTGTGCACCAGTGCACAAAGAAAGGTCCATAAAGACATGGATGAGTGAGTTCAGGGTGGAGGAACTTGACTGACCTGCACAGAGACCTGACCTCAACCCGACAGAGCATCTTTGGGATAAATTAGAGCAGAGACTGTGAGCCAGGCCTTCTCCTCCCAACACCAGTGCCTGACCTCACAAATGCACTTCTGGAAGAATGGTCAAACATTCCCATAGACACACTCCTAAACCTTGTGGACAGCCTTCCCTGAAGAGTCGAAGCTGTTATAGCTGCAAATGGTGTGCCAACCCAATATTAAACCCTACGGACTAAGACTGGGATGGCATTAAAGCTCATGTACGTGAAAAGGCAGCAGATAGATTGTATATATATATACATATATCTATCTATCTATCTATCTATCTATCTATCTATATATATATATATATACACACACACACACACACACACACACACACACATATACACACACACACACACATATATATACACACACACATACACGCACACAGCTGAGGGGTGTCTGCTATAGTCACATGATACCAACAGATGTAGTAATAGTACAATGAATAATTTGCCAGGTCTAGAGATAATCATTGTATAACTTGTTCTGTACAGGTTGTGCTCTCAGAATTACACCTAAAATATGCATTTATTTTTACTCAGACATGGTAAACTACATTTGTAGATTAATTACCTTTCGGTGATGTTGTGACTGCAGCAGAAATGGAAGTTTTGGGGGGATTTTCTATTAAGCTGGCTGCATTTCTTTCCTGAAAACAATACAATAAAATGACAAAAACCTCTGAGGTTTTTCCTCATTTATTAATTATTTCATTTAAGACTTTACCTACCTTTCTGTGCAACTGTTCAAGCTCATATTCCTCTCTTGATATTCTGAAAGGTTAAAAACATAAATTTACAAATATTTCTTACCCTTCCTAAAAACTTCAAGTTTAAAAAAAAAAAAAAATACTGACTATTTCTTCTTACCAGGGGCGGACTGACAACTCATGGGGCCCCCGGGTAATAGGGGATCATGGGGCCCCTATGTCCTTGCCCACACTCAAAAAAAGCCTATTAAAAAAAAAAAAAAAAAAAAAAAAAAAAAAAAAAGGTACCAGGGGCATTTCATGGGGTCCCCTACTGACCCCTGGCCCTCGGGGAGTGCCCGAGTGCTCGAATGGTCAGTCCACCCCTGCTTCTTACACATTACAAAATGCATACTCCAGCAAACATTTAAAGTGGTTGTAAACCCTTACATATACCCAGTGAAGTGCCTGTCCTCAGGTGATATGCAGAGATTAAACAAATCCTCCCACACAAGTTGTATCTGTTTATCTGCAGTCATCTCCTCTCTGCATCCATTCAAAGTCCAGAATTTATATAACTTGTCTGAGAGCAGAAAAAAATGGGGTGGAAAGCTGAAGTTACATTCTGCAGAACTCAGTGAGGAGAGTTCTGACAGCTGATTGGAGGGAAGAGACACCCCCTCCACACGGCACACAGGAACAGAGCTGAGGCTGTCAATCTGCTGGAGTAAGCAGATTTTTTCTTGGTGTCATGAAAACATGTCAGAGCAGACTCATGCTGATAGAGGAACAAAGCAGCAGAAATGACATGTAGTACTCTGGATTGAGATAAGTACACACTATAGAGGAATATGTTTTTTCATATTTCATAACTGAGGTTTACAACCACTTTAAAGCCCTATTTTTTTTTCTTAAAATAGACCCTCAGGCAGCATTAAAACACACGCACACACCAGACTGTACTACTCCTCAATCAAAAGCTGCTTCTCACAGTACCTCTTGCTTGCCAGAGGATATCCTCAGCCTTCTGGGTTGTATGACACCTAGGCCTCTCAACCCAGTGAGCACTGAAAGCTGCCTTATGAAAAAGGTATCTTGTTTGTGCTGAAGACTGTGCTGGACTGACTGGATCAGTCACTGGTGGGTGGTTCCGTTAGTGGGTAGGGAGAAGTCCCTCCAGTCAGTTGTACCCAATGGTGGATATTGGCGATAAACCTTCTTGGGCTGCTGCCTTTCTGGTACAGCCGTGAGGTCGTTTCCATAAGTATACTTGGAACAGTAGAAAAGAAGGAGTGCCCGATGTTCAAAAGAATGCACTTTTGATGGTAGATTAGGAGGCATTTACTGAGAGTAACAACAAGTACATCAAGCCAACGCATTTCGGGAGAAAAGACTACCTTCTTCAGGGCTATTAAACAAATATGAAACAAAAATAAATCAATCAATCAAAAGTTCCTGACATGATCAAAATAATCAGAATATAAATAATCATAATAGAAATAAAATCAATAGTAATGATAATAATGGCAATAGTAATTGTGATAATTGAGCTGAGAGGAAATCTGCAGATAAACTAAAAAAAAACAAAAAAATGAAATAAAAGAAAAATATTTTGAATAGTGATCATCGAGCCTACAGGACTCTGCAATGGATATGTGTGTGGAATGCGCTAATATGGTCAGGTCTTAAGTGATATAAATCAGTATGTAGGTATTACTGTGACATAGATGATGTTAGATAATGTAAAGCCGTGCGTGAATGTGAAGCAAAAAATAGTTATGAACTAACCTGTTTCTGCACGTTATTAAATGGGAAAAATTCCCATGTAGGTTATATATTTTCTCATATAATTTGTTTCTCTGTATATTTTTCGTATTTGTTTAATAGCCCTGAAGGTAGAGTCTTTTTTCCCAAAACGCATTGGATTAATGTGCTTATAAAAAAAAAAAGGTAGAAATGCCAGTTCATACATAATCTACGCATTCTGTCAAATGTACTTCAATCAAATGGATATGCCCGAATATATCTGAAACGCACTATCAATTGTGCCAGGCAATTCCCTTTGTAATAAGTAAACATGCCATTCACCACTCATTTTGCGTCCTGATTCACTACACAAACAGAAATAACCATTTACCTTAATGCTTCAGATAGCAGTTTCATCTCTTGTTGTTCAAGGCCAGAAATAATATCTGTACCATTCTGCAAACATTCAGGAAGTACACCTGCAGGAAAAAAAGATTAGAGATAAGACCTGAACATTCATGCAGCAAAAATATAAATGCATCAAGAAATGAATCATAAAAGGAGGAATGCAGTGTTTACTTGAAGCCTTCACTCATGAAGGATTGCAGTCTACACACAGCACAGGTTTCCTTTATATGTTTATTTGTAACAGAGTTTGCAGCAATGTAAAAATTAAATAAACATTTATAATTAACGATTGTCCAAAAAAATTATAAAAAATTACCTTTATTGCTGGCAACAGAAGGTAAAGCTGGCCATATACTGCTTGAAATTTGGCTGCTGAATCAGCTGAAATTCACGCTGTGGGTGGCCCTAGCATGGATGAAAGCCTCAGATTTCTTTTTTCAGCCCACAGGCTGAATGAGAGAAATCTATATGTCTATGGCTCATGTAAGTGAGGTAGTGTATGTGCTCAACAACTGCTACCTGACAGCACCCAGTTTTAAACTATGTGCATCAATTCACCATCAGTTGTGGCAGATTTATTTTAAGGAGTCAAAGAAAGGGTGCTTCAATTGATGGCAACAGAGAAGGCTCAAAACGTTCAAGAGCCATCTGTAAAGCTGACTAAAGACAGATAACAGCTGGAAAAACAAACACAATTGGAGTCTCACAATATGTCTTGGATCAACTAAAATATTAAAAACGGGAAACGTCATAATTTAGGGGTTCTGGAAAACCATGTTAATCAGAGATTGGGGCTTAGTAGAATGATTTCCTACTAGAAAATGGATTGCACAAAAGAATAAAATTCACCTCATCCACGGAATATGGAGGTTAACGGTTGTCCATATAATTATGGAAAGTAGTAGAACAATTGACAGAGATTTAAAAAAATTTGAGTGAAGCAGCTTCAGGTACCTGAAAGATGCCACAAACATGTTATGAGTTTTCCTTTTCTCATCAGCAGTTAGAGCAGTCTTGTGGCTTCTGTCAGTGTCCAGCCAAGCATTGGTTAAAGCTTGTAGGAGGAGTTTTCATTTTGCTCTAGGAGGATCAGGACCCCTGACCTCTGTCTGGACAATGCTGATTGGCCCTGTACTGATCACATGCACTCTCCCAAGAAAGCCCTCTCTAGCAATACACAGCAAACTGAACATGTGCACAGTGACGCCACACATTATGTCTTATCAGGAGAAAGGAGGGGGACAATGGAAGAAGGGGAGGATAAGAGAAGACAGGATCAAACAGCGTTTTTACACAATGGAAAGGATTAACCCCTTAGGTTCTACAGCGAGTATAACAAGCATGCTTTACTGCATATACAGGCTGATTTTACTGTTGTGGGATTAGTAACATTTTATTGTTATAAATACGCAAGGTTGGGTTTAGTGTGTGTGATATTTTTGTTGCAATAAATACAAAATAGAAAAAAAAGCAGGCCAACTAAGGGTTGGGCAACACATAAAAACACTAACAGGCACAAAAAAAAAAAAATCAGCAGGAAGACTGGGGACTTCCAGCAGTTCAAGCAGATGCCTGAACGGCTTTTACACCTGAAGCTCCATCAGATTAGGTTGAAACATTTACCTAGTAGAACTTCGAGAAGATATAAACAAAAGACCAGGTGGCAGTCTTGCAAATCTAAGTAGTAGTTGCTTGGTGCCAAAAAGCCCAAGAAGCACAAATTTTAGTAAAAAGACTGAGTGCACAATGACAAGAAAGGGTAGAACTTGAGACCCGAACTTGAGACCATAAACTTGGATTATGGTCTGTCTGAGCTATCTAGAGATAGTGGAACAAGAAGCCAGAGGATCCTTACAGGTTCCATCTGGGATTACAAAAAGGGATTCCTAAAAGGAAGCAGAGGCTGAGAGATAAGACCCTCACAGCCCAAAACACATCCAGACAATGGTGGGCAATTTTCTTTTGATGATCTGGAGCTAGACAGAGGTGCAAGGGAAAGACTAACTTAGGCAAGAATGAAGAACTGGCACCAAGCACCATCTTGTCCCTATTCAAAACCAGAAGGGGTTCCATGTAGAAGAAGGCACGCAGGTAAAGACACTCCCCTCACAGAGGTGATGGTTACAAGGAAAAACCATCTTGTGAGCAGGAGTAGAGAGAATCCTCAAATGGGGTCAAACTGCAATTCTGAAGGGCAGCAGGAACCAGATTTAGATCCCATGGGGAATGAACAGGGGAAACTACATAGCACAAATCCTAAACAAGGAGTAAGAGGTCAAAAGTCTTAGAAACAAGACTGAAAGGATAGAAACCTTGCCCCTGATTGTGCCAAGAGCCAAATGCTGGTCTAGATTCATCAGCATGAAGGAGAGCATTTATCCTACAAAGAAGCTCCTTGGGTGGAAGCCCAAGTGACCAAGTGAAGTATGCCATGGGTAGCCATTCTTTAGCATTATAGGTATCAGATTCCAAGATACCCATTTTTCAAAACCTAGATTTCAACATCCAGGCACCATTAAAGACAGCGACTGCAAAGCAAGTTGGTAGATTGGTCCTGAAGACAAAAGATCTTGACAATCTCTGTCAATGCTCTATGCCTGATATCTACATTGTGGACAAAGAGGGATTGTGAAAATTTGCCTAGGACAGGATAATGATAATTGGCGTAAGCAACCACCATGACATTGTCTGATTGAATCCAGATCAGATGACCTGGCAGCAAGAGGGTCCAATACTGCATTGACAGCTAATTCACCCAAAGCTCTAGGATGCTGACTGGAAGACAAAATTACTCTAACAAGTCCCCTGAACCAACATGGTACCTGGAACTCCTTCCCAGCCCAACAGGCTAGAATGTACAGATGGACGTCCACCAATTTCAGAGCTGGATTCCAGAGTCATTAGGTCAGGAGCAACCTGGTACTCTGTGGTAAACAAATTGGTCTGTCCAGAGACTTGACTGACGTACAACATTACACAAAAATGAAAAATGAATGTTGCATCACAGAGTGAAACAGGGCAAATGGGACTGCCACGAAGGATGCTACCATCAGGCCAAGACTCATGCAATAGCAGAGAGCTAGACAACTCCTGGGCTGGAGACCTCGAATGTGGGATTGGAGAGTCTAAAGTTTCTCCTGCAAAAGAATCACTCTGGCCTGAGCTAGGTCCAGAACTAGATCCAGATACTCCAAACAATAAATTGGATCCAACACTGATTTTTGAAGGTTCAGAATCTGCCTGGACTGCTGTAAAATCTGAAGGTTCAGAATCTGTCTGGACTGCTGTAAAATCTGAACAGTCAAAGACACACTATCTGACAGAGACCACACTGATTGTTCTCTCAGCATAAGGTAGTTTTAAGTATTCCACAATGGGGATGCCACAGGAGCACAAAAGGACTAATACTAGGGCCACCTTGATGAACACCTGAGGTGTAGAGGAAAGACCAAAGGGCAGAGTCGCAAACTAGTAGTGTAGGAAAGTAAAGCAAAATGTAGTAAATACTGATGTGCTGGGAAAATATATAGGTGCACTTCCTTGATGTTCACAGAAACCAGAAAGTCTCCATGGTTAAGGGAGATGATGTAAGACCTGGTAGATTCTAAGTAAAATTTCTGGGCTCCAATGAAGACATTCAGAGCTTCAAGATCCAAGATGGGGAGGATGCCCACTTTTGTTTAGGAATGATAAAGAGGTTGCGGTATAATCCTTGAAAACTGAGGCAATGATCCCTTGGTCCAGGAGACCCAAGAGAGTTCAGTGGAAATCTGCTAATCTGTGGGGTGATACAGAAAGATGAGAAACTGAGGACGGAGCTGAAGGCGAACCTCCAGCTTGTATTCCTGGAATACCACCTTCTGCTCCCAAGCGTCTGAGATGCAAGCTGTACAAGTGTCTGGAAAGACTGACAAATATCCTTCACCCTTTAAAGTGGGGGTACACCTTAATGTCAAGGAAGGCTTGTCTGAGGATTTGGCAAACTGAGTGCCAGAATTTACAGGTGGGTGGGGAGTCAACTTTGTCAAGAATACTTCCCAACCTGCTGAGTAAACAATTAGTTCGACAGCAGTAGGGCAGAAATCAAGTCATGCTTTTGCACATTACCCTTTATCCTCTCATCAGTATTCTCATTATCAAAATATAATCTCTGCAATATAGCTTGATTGGCTGAGAGTGGTGGCCCCCTCTGCTGTGCTTGGACTGCTATGAAGAACTATTTAGATGCCAATACTATTTACAATTTAAAATACATCTGATAGTTATATAACCGCATGAAATAAAACATAACCTTACCATTTCTTTTCTGAATTATTTGAATAGCTTGCAACTGTAGTTCGATATTCTTCTGTAGCATCATTTCTTTAAAAGTTACAAAATCTTCTATGGCGAAAACAGGTTGCAACATACTCTACAAGTAAAAACAAGAGGTAGAAGCCTGAAACAATATATAATTTAGTACAATAGTAAGCCGTTGTTCTCTGGTTTTAACAAGGATATAGGAAATATATTTCTAAGCTCCTTTAATGGAAAAAAATTACCACATAGGTGCTCTTCTACATGCACCCACCTCCCAATATCCAATCACTACCTTTGCATGGCAACAACCAAGTTAGGTATTTATTCTGGTCCCAACACAAGTATAATAGACAATGCCTGACAACACTATCTGTTCTAAAAATGGAAAATCCCAAATTCTCTTTGATAGAACATGTAAAAATGTTATTAATGTGAAGTCTCCACTTTTTTTTTTTTTAGATCTGTGTTTAAGAGTCCAGTCTAAATGTTAACAATCCTACCAATGCATGCTGGAGCAAGAGAATGTGATCTAGACTGCCTAGACTGGAAGCTCAAGACCAGCAGTATTTCCTATTCATGGAAAGGAAAAAATAGGATTTTTGTATTTGCTGTAAAATCCTGTTCTTGGAGCCTATTGATGGGCACAAGAAGTCTTAACCCTTGTGTTCTACTGCCACTTAGAGTAGGAATGGACAAAAAAACTGGACTGGCAAAACTACTAAATAAAAAAACTGTAGGTCGGAAGTCTTACCAGATTACATAGTTAGTCCAGTTGAAAAAAAAGTCCATCTAATTTGACAAATAGAGAAAACAATCCTATACAACACTATCCTATTCCCACAGTTGATCCAGAGGTAGGCAAACCACCCCCATCTCAAAAAAAGTGTGATGCAATTTGCTCCAGCAGGGAAATAAAAATTTCCCTCCTCTACCCCTAGGAGGCACTAGGAAAATCCCTGGATAAACCATCCCTGGTGTGATTACCTCTAAATGTTAGTAGCTTGTTACATTTTGTGCATTTAGGAAGGCATCCAGCTCTTTTTTAAAACAAACAAACAATCTACTGAGCTGGCCAGAACTAGTTTCTGAGGGAGTCTATTCCACGTTTTCAGTTCTTACTGTGACAAAGCCTTTCCGTGTGTGGAGGTTAAATCTCTTTTCAGACATAAAGAGTACCCAATTGTCCTTTGTAATGACCTGAAAGTGAATAACACTAAAGTTCACTATATGGAACACTTCTGTATTCATACATGGTGATCATATCACCCCTAATTTCCTCTTATCACGAGAAAATAAAATTCAGTTCAGTTAAACTTTCCTCATAGCTGAGCTCCTCATCAGTAAGGTTGTCCTCCTCTGCACTTTCATTTCTCCGATAACCTTTTTGTGAAAAGGTGCCCGAAACTGAGCTGCATATTCCAGTTGAGGTATTACTAATGATTTGTAAAGGGGCAAAACTCTCTCTCTCTCTCTCTCTCTCTCTCTCTCTCTCTCTCTCTCTCTCTCTCTCATACGTCTTAATATCACATCCGCCTGGGCCAGTCTAGAACAACAACTTATCCGATGTTCTCCTATCTGCATCAAAGGTCCTGAACATCTCCAGGTATAGGGACCATTGTCCTGGATCGAGTTTCTAGGCTGAGGAAGTCTTCCTGCCAATTGTCTACATCTTGGAAGTAAACAGCAGACAAAGCAGAAATGTGAAGTTCTGCCCAGGACAGGATCCGCTATTTCTCTTGTGCAGTGGCAAGACTAAGAATTCCTGCATTATGGTTGATGTATTTCACCACTGTGGTATTGTCCAACTGAATCTGGATCGATTGACCCTCCAGCAGAGAGGTCCAATGTTTCGGGGACAACCAAAATGCCAAAAGTTACAGACTATTGGGAGTCAGACAAATAGGTCTGTCCAAAGGACTAGACTAACTGGTTCTTGGACAATAGCATGCTGTGTCTGGAGTAGAAATGGGGCCAATGGGAACATAAGCAAAAGCAGAGAGTTAGGATAAGATTCTGAATCTGGGAGCAATGGAGACTGTGGAAGAAAAGCTGACCTGCAACTGTGTGTGCAATTGGACCCATATACTGTATTCCAAAGAGGTGAGTTGGTACAAAAGTTAACTTCTGGATATTTAGGAATCACCCAAAGCTCTGCAAGGTCTGGATGGGCAGGGCTTTATTTTATGCCAGAACCCATTCCACTCAAGCAGGTACAAAGCTGGTAGACGCTTGGAAGGTACAAAGAGCTTGTCAGGATTTTATTATTCTCGAGAAAAGGAAGACTGCAAGCACTGGGTGCAGTGAAAAGGTGTTAGCGGCCTTAGGAGCCCAGAATTGGGAAAGCACTGGTGGATGCAAGGGGCTGTTCCTAGAGTATTAAAGTGGTGCATAGCTCATCAATAAGAGCTGAAAACAGTCTCTTGAGTTTGAAAATAATTGCAGAAGTCTGAGATTCCTCAGGTGTAGGCTCATCGGTCAGTAACTTGGAAGAGAATCAGCATCAGAGTCTTGGCGATTGAAAGCTCACAGGCCATCAAAGCTGCAGTAAAACGCTCCTTGGATAAAGCAGAGGAGGTGGCCACACCCAATGGAGCTAAGGAAGACTCCAGCAGAGGGCAAAATTGCAGGCCATCAGTATCAAGCACCCCAGGGGGGCACACTGCGGGCAGCACCAGAAATGTTAAGGGAATGTGAGCTAGAGGCATCCGGTACAGCAGGACTGTTACCCATGTGCTTAGAATTAGACACGTTGCATCACAAAGCAGAAGGCAATGTAGCTCAGGATAGGCCTCAGATGCCTGGAAGCCCGAATGCTTGGGTAGCAGGTGTAGAATAAGGTGACTGAAGATGATCACGTCATTGTAAGCAGGCAGTACAGACTAACCAAGGAGTATTCCACATGTAGCAGCCAGGAGTAGTAGCAGCAGCAGCAGCAAGTTGCTTCCTCAATGCTGAATGGCAGGAAAGAGCGGCCATAGAAAGCGCTTCATGGCCAACTTTGACCAACACTTGCAGGTCTGGAAAGTGCCACACAAGAAACACAAAGCCAAGTGCCCATACTAAGGGCCTCAACGCCACCTTGTTCCTATATAAAACTAGAAAAGGGTTCCTTGAAGGATGACTGTCAGTTATAAAAGAGTAGAGTGACAGCAGAAAAGACACCAAGTCTGCCCTAAAATACTTTCTAAGATTAGTTTTAGGTCAGGTCCCCATGTCCTTGATCTAACTTTATATTGAAAATACTGTCCTTCTTAACCTTACTCACACCCGTTAGGTATTTAAAAGTTTCAATGAGGTCCCTATGTTTCCCTTATTTCCTCAAGACTGTACATATTAAGTTCTTTAAGTCTCCTCTTCTGTTAAAGCCAGCGACCATGAAGCAGGATGGTAAATCAGTTCTTCAGACAAAAAATCTTGACAATTTGAAAGAGCCAATAAGTGTCTGCCAGGAGTCTCAGGTAAGAATACCTCATCTGTTAGGGTCAGTCTGATAAAATGAGGATTACAGGAATGCCCTCCATCTTGATCCTGCAAAGCAGACAAGGAAGGAGGAAAGACAAATTAGGGTGTTCTTATCTTACAGAGCCACCAAAGCATCCACTGCTTCCATTAAATAATTTCTGTTCCTGGATCAGTCCAGCACATAGTCACAGGTCCCAAAACACGTCAAGGTGTAGGGATCATTCCAATGGTTCCAGGCTCTGCAGGCTAAGGAAGTCAGCCTGCCAATGGTCTCTGCCTGGAATGAAAAGTTCTGCCCAGGACAGGGTCCAAACCAATGTCCCTCTCTTGTGAGACATCTGGTTCTTACTTGATGGTTGATATATGCCACTGTCATGGCTCTGTTCGACCCACATCAGGACTGGATGACCTTCCAACAGAACAAGACAGCAAAATCCCTTGAAATTCCAGGATGTGGATTGAGAGCCAAAGCTCCTCCGATGACCAAACCCCCTGGCACTGACATAGTGCCAGGGACTGCTTCCTAGCCTGGCAGGCTACCATCCATCATCAGGATCTTCTAAAAAATGGGCAGGAAGGACCTCCCCAAATTTCAGAGCAGTATTCCTGAGCCACCAAGCCAGGGACAACTTGGTCCTAGTTTCCAAGTGAACCTACTGGTCCAGGGACTTAATTGACTTGTACCACAATAACAGAATGTTGCATAGCAGAGATCTGTAGTGAAACTGGGTAAGTAAAACTGCCTTCGAATAAGGCTACTATTTGATGTAGGACTCTAATGCAAAAGCATAGAGCTGGATGACACCTGTACTGGACTCCTTGAATCTGAGACTAGAAAGTCTGAAGGTCTGTGGAAAAAACACTCTGACCTGAGCTGTATCCAGGACCAGACCCAAACACTCCAAATGATGACTTGGTTCCAGTGGCAATTTCTGACAGTTGGGGATCCATCTGAACCACTGTAATGTCTGGACAGTCAAAGCCATGTTGTCCGACAGAGCCTGAGCTGACTGTTCCCTCAACAGGAGGTGGTCTAAGTATCTCATAGTAGGGATGACACAAGAGCACAACAGGGCTAATACTAGGGTCAACACCCTGGTGCACCCAAAGATGAAACATCGAAGAACAAGGCCACAAATTGGTAGTATAGAGGCCACACAACAAAAAGGAAATGTTCATGCACTGGAAAGATGGGAACATGCAGGATATGGGTGCTTGATATCCACAGAATCCAGAAAGTCTCCCTGCTCAAAAACAGACAATGACATAGCTGGTGAAGTCCAGGAGCAATTTCTAGGTTTGAATGAAGACATTCAGTGTTTTGAGGATAAGGATGCTTGCCTTTTGGTTTGACAACGGTGAATAGGTTCGAGTAAAATTCTTGAAATTGTGACTTCTTGGTCCAGAAGATCTGAGAAGGTTGGATGGAGATCTGTTAATCTGTGAAGTGACACAGGAAGGTTGGAGGTGAGAAACAGAGAAGGGAGCATGGAGAAAAACTCCCATTTTGTATCCTTGGAATACCACCTCCCGCACTTAAGCATTTTAGATGCAAACTGTCCAAGTGTCTACAAAGGTTGACAAATGTCCCCCACTCGGAAAGTGGGGGCTCACTTTTATGCTGTGGAAAGCCAGTCTAAGGATTTGACAGCCTTTGAGCTCCAGACCTTGTGGGTAGATTTTGACTAGTTAGCCATGGTTTGGCAAAGTCACAGCCAGGATGGGGTGAAGAGCAGGACCTGCCAGCAAGAACAGTGTTCTAGATAGGCCTTTTTTTATTGGTTGGGTCCTTAAAGACAGGTACATCATTCACTGGTATTGTTGTTGCTTTGTTAAAGTAGGATAATGCTGGATCCACACTAGACATAGACCTTTTGTACAAAATCCTCCCCAAAGGGGTACTAGGCTAATAAGTGCTTGGGAGGGAGCAAACAGCTTGTCAATTTCTGTGCACAAAGACCTGGAACAGCAGGTGTAATGTAAAAGTCCTTTGTGGCTTTATAAGCCTTAAGGGACCCAAGACTGGAAACAGCACTAGTAAAAGCAACAGACAGATCCTCTAGTTTCAGAGTGGTATGCACCACATTTATAAGAACTGAAATGGTTGGAAATAATAGTTTATTACGATTCTTCAGGGGCAAGCTCATCAGCCAAAGCCTGTAGAGACTCAAAATCAAAGTCTTAGTGGCTGATTGCTCAGAAGCCATCAAGGCCATGGGTAAATCAGAAATAAAAATTATAGTCAGAGTCTGGGTGATTCAGGCCAGAACATCTTTCATGACTGTAGTAAAAACCTCAGGTCCAAGGAAACAGCCTTACCAGAGCTAAGGAGGACTTTAATGACAGAATCGACACTAGGAGCAGAGGGCAACATACTGTAATTCCAGACGGCTAATGTTGACCCCATCAGTGGGCAAGTTGCAAGCAGCCATTAGCAGAGTATGAGCTTAGGCACTCATTACAGCAGGACTGTCCCCCGTGTCCAGAATCAGACATGTTGCGAGCATGTGGCAGTTAGGCAATGTAAGGTTCAGGGTAAGAGGCAAGTCCTCAGGTACTCATGAAACACGGACAGCTGGAAGCACATGAGGGTCAAAACAGCTGGAGGTAACCAAAGTCACTGTAAATGAACAGCAGAAAAGGCTTGAAAAACTAAGTTATACATTGCAAGCAGGAGCAGAACCAGGGATATGCCTACTCCAGACGAAGAGATAACCGTCACTCTGTGCAATATTGTTGCACAGAGCAGGTAGGTATGACATCTTTTTTTATTGTTTAAAAAAAAAAAAAAAAAGGATTTGTCATCAACACATCCCGTGTTCATGAATGAATGAGAATAAAAAAATCTTTATAGTCAAAATAAAGATGTGACTTGGTTATACTTACATTCACTATGTTGGTTTATGTGAAGCGTGAATAAAAAAAAATGTTCCACTTTAGCGTGTAAACCTATTACAGCGGATAAAATAATGTTCTATAGATATTATGGTGTAAAAATACTTTTTCTTGATGAGGTAACAAATGTTAAATTTACTGTAATTTCCAGTACATCACTCATAACTTGTCTAAAAGTAAATCAAAAACAGAACGTCACAAAGCATCCTTTCTGTAGATTAACGTAAGTAAGGTCAATGGACAGATTACAATTGTATTATCTCCTAATCTACATTATCCTCTCCCTGGCAAAGACTTTCCGTAAAGAATTATGGCACACTTTGAAAGCATGCATGCATACTGTATGTTTTTCATTCCTTTTAACTGCAGGCCACAAAATAAATCTACAATACACTACAAAGAATTCTAAATATTTTATTTCATGTAATGTCAAACAGACTATATATTAGAACAATTAAAGTGATACTAAAAAGATAAAAATAAAAAACACGTTACACTTACCTGCTCTGTGCAATGGTTCTGCACAGAGCAGCTCCAATCCTTAACAGGTCCCCTACTGGCGCTCCTGGCTCTCCTATTTTATTGAGTGCCCTCATAGCAAGCTATGGGGGCACTTGTGCATGCTTGCTCCCAAGCCGGTTCTATGTGTCCATCGACACAACCCCGTAACCCCCCCCTTCTCACGGACTATGATTGATAGCAGGGGGAGCTAATGGCTCTTGTTGCTGTCTCTGAGCCAATTTGGAGAAAAGAGCCAGGAGAACCTCTGCTCTCATGCACATCGCTGGATCGAGGTGGGGCTCAGGCAAGTATAAAGGGGGGCAGGTGGAGAGCTACATACTAAACGTTTTTTACCTTCATGCAGAGAATGCATTAGGTAAACAACCTTCAGCCTTTAAAACCACTTTAATATTCTTACTTTACATCTAATGAAGCCACTAATTGTTTGGTTTGGGATAGAAAAAAGAATGCTTAGAATCCCTGATAAGAAAAATGTCCCTCTCTTCTGTTCCTACAACACAAAGAATTGAGAGGAGATGGCAGGTTTCTGAGAGGCACACAGAGAATGTGTTTTGGGTAAAAAGAGTACCGTAATAATAGTAAACATATTGTGGTGTCTGCTCTTAGGCAGGATCTTTTATTACATTTTAAAGGTCAGATAAGTTCTTGTTAGAAAACTTGTTCATATTAGACAATCGTTATAAGAAAATATAAAAAAAAAAAAAAAAACAGGACTGGGTGATGATTTTATGTTCAAGGGCCTCTAACAGACATCAGCAGATACCCCAGCAAACCTCTTTAGAGGAAAAATTCCATTAACTAGTAGGTAGGCGTTTTATTAAACATGAACTTATTGCAGTTAGCACTGAAAGCATCTAATGTATATGATACAAGCATACTGTATATATGTATGTTTACTGCAAGGGAAATATTGTTAAGTGACTGGAGTGCTTATTAAAATACAACAAATTTTCTTTTGCAGATGGTGGATGGCCATAGAACATGATCTAATCTGTATTTTCCCAAGATTTACCCATCAGCACGGTCTGTCATATACCAATAGCATAGACAGCCACACACGGTGCTTATCATGGTGGTTTCAAGCCATAGGAAAATAGTGCAATCAATGTCCTTATCTAATATTTATGGGTATACTTGGCCTGTCATATACTGAACAAGAATTGCCAGCTATGCTGGTTACAGATGACAACTGATCTAAAAATGGAGAGTAGTACATTTGATTGCAAACATGATGATGGTGATTAATCAAAAGAAGAAGGTCACCTTAACTTCTGGAGAATGAGCGAATGGTGCTGTGCATGCCTCTTGAAATTGCTCCTCACTGATCCCCATTTCATTCAGATGCTCTTGTATCAGCTTCTCTACCTGTGGAAATAGGTCATACGCTGATTCATTTTATACCTACACGCAAGTTGGCAATATAAACAAATATAAATTCAAATTCATTTATAGTTATAATAAACAGATATCTTACAATGTTTCCACCTCCTAAACCAAACTGGTATATCAGTGTAGTTCTACAGATCTGAAATGCTTACAAGAAGGGGGACACCAGAATGTGCTTCTCAACATTTCAAAAGAAGACTCCAAATTTTTCTGATTTCACCTGCGAATATTCTATGGATAGAGTCATTCATTCATTATTAGGTACTTATATAGCGCTGTCAATGTATGCACCAAATAAAAATATATTGCACATTTAGATCAGTCCCTGCCCTCAAAGAGATTACAATCTAAGGTACCAAACTCACATTCATACATATACATACTAGAGCCAATTTAGACAGGAGCCAACTAACCTACCAGCATGTCTTTGGAGTGTGGAAGGAAACCAGAGAAAACTCACAACATCACAAAGAGAACATGCAAACTCCAGGCAGGTAGTTCCGTGGTTGGAATTCAAACAGACAACCTTAGTGCTGCTAGGTGAAGCGCTAACCACTTAGCCACTGTTCTACCCAGTCTGTTAGAAATCTGCATTGCCTGAAAACCAGGATCACTACTATATATGCAAAGAAGGGTATTTAACAAAATTGGATTTTTTTCTACATACTTAGCAGTAAAATCCATTTCTTGGAATACATCACAGGACATAGAGCAGGCTATAATCATTACTATCCGGGTTATGTGCCACCTATAGGTGAATGGACACTGGCAGACGAAAAACAGACAAGAAGTCCTCTCCTATATAACCCCTCCTACACAGGAATTATCTCAGTTTTGTAGCAAGCAATGAACTCCAGAAAGAGGGCAGGGACTGCTGTGTTCCATGATGTACTCCAAGAAGTGAATTTTACAGTAAGTATGTAGAAACAAAAATACATCACAGAACACAGAGCAGGTTATAATCATGACTATCTGGGATGTCCTAAACCAGTACATTTGAGGGGAGGGAGACACCAATCCCAGACTCCATTATCAGCCCGAGGACCTACTCTGCCACCCGTAACACACTGCAGCCAAAAGCAGCATCCTCTGTAGCTCTAACATCCACTTGGTGAATGTATGCACTGAAGACCAGGTAGCAGCCTTGCAAACCACCGACACCTGATGGCGGCTTGCCCAAGAAGTACTCACACTTCTGGTAGTGTGCTCTTAACAGAAAGGGTGGGACGTTGTCATTAGTTGCCTTGGATGCCATTTGCTCTTTCCTGGGCCCTTCTTGTAGCACAAACAAGGAATTGGATCTTCTGATTTGTGCCGATCTTCTCAGATAGACTCTAACAGCTCACACTACATCCAAAGAATGCAGTAATTTCTTTCCTGGTGAATGAGTATTCATTCATAAAAAAAAAAAAAAAAAAAAGGGAGGGTAGGACATGTCCAATTCAAATGAAAGCTAGAAACCACTTTAGGCAAGCTCTTACCTGAAAGGGTGCCACACCACCTTATCATGGTGTAGGATTAAAAATAGCTCCTTACAAGAAAGCCTCCAGCTCCAACACCCTTCTTATCGAAGTGATTGCAATCAAAAAACCCAAGACCCCCTCGGTTCTTCAAGATCCTGAGCTTCAATAGCCACACTGTTGAATTTAGCGACTGTAGAGCAGGATGCCATATTGGGCCCTGAGACAGTAGGTCCGGCCAAACTGGAAGAGACCGTTGACCCTCCACAGCTAGTTTTACTATATCTGTGTACCAAGCCCTCCCTGGGCCAGGCCGGGGATACCAAGATCACCGATGTTACCTCCTCCCATATCCTGTGCAAAAGGCACAGCAGGAGCTGAATCGGGGGGGGGGGGGGGGTCATAAATTGGGGAGAACTGATCCCAAGAAGTCATCAGAGCAGTTACGTCAAATACGAGTGGGTTCCTTGTTCTGGATACACACTGCCCAAAATCCTTTATCTGCAGTGAGGCTGCAACTGAGCGGACTGATTTTATCCGAAACTAATGAACAAATAGAAATCAGTTCAGAGCATTGAGACCTAGAATAGGACTCACATCTCCATTTGGTTTTGGAATCGTGAACAGGTTCCAGTAGAAGCCCCTAAACCTCTCACTTGACGGCACTTCCACAATTACTCCTTGGGACAGCAATCAATCAAGAGTTTGAAATAAAGAATTTATCTTCAGCTGGTTTGTGGGTACACTGGACTTTTAAAAAATGGGGAGGGGGAAGAACCCAAAACCTCCAGTCTGCACCCCTGAGAAATCGTGGAAATGACCCACTTGTACTAGATCACCTCTTCCCAGGCACTTAAAAACTGCAAAAGCCTCCCCCACTACCCATACAAGTGGGGGCATCCCTTCACAAACAGGGCTTAGAGTCAACCACTGGCATGCTCCATTTCTTCAAAAGTTTTCCTACATGGGATACAGCAGGGAAAACATCTTGGGAGCAACAAATACTATATCTGGGTGACCCTAATCAGCATATACCACCTGCTCTAAGAGTGGGTGCAATGGAAAGGCTTGAGCATTCGGCGGAGGCCGCATCGAATCCAAAGGGGTGTAGGAGGTCTCAGAAGCCTGCAATGGAGGCAATTTGAATCCAGAGTGGGCCATTTTCATAAGAGATTGGACCAACAATCTCTAGGACTCAGAGGCTGACAACACTTGGCCCTCCTCAAGCACTGATTCCCCAGATTTTCCACCTGACCTTTCTCCAATTCATCAACAGCTACTTCCTCCACATCCTCTACCCACTCCTGCCCAAAACAGGAGAATCCGGTGGGGGGGATCTTTCAAGCTTCTCACCTTCCTGCATAACAGAGGAAATCATGCCAGCTATTTTATCCTACAATCCAGTCAAGGCTAAATGGTAGTAGCCACTGTGACGAACATGGTGTCCAACCCCTGCCCTTCTACCAACTCGTGACAAAGGATTGGCCAATCTCACACGCGCTGTCACTTACGTAACAATGCCACTCTCAGCTGCACCTTGTACAACGATTTTCCAGCTCACTTGACTAATCTAGGTTCCGCAGCATGAGAGTGATTTTCACTGGGTTATGTTAACTAAGCACTTAACGTTTTAAGCCACCACCACCTTTTCACTCAATCTTATCAATAACAAATATGAAAAATAAATGTCTGTACACACACTGTCACCACAGACAGGCATATTCAGAGGACTATCATATAGAGTAGCACTCTTCAAAAGACAGGGATTTTTTAATTTGAATTAAAAGCCTTTGGGACCGTTTAAACCGTATTTTGAAAAATGTTAAAAGATGAAAAGGTCAAGATGGTGCAAATAAAATATTTACAAAAAAAAAAAAAATAATGTTACAAAGAAATAGAGAACAATAAAGCAACAGAGAATTAAGGAGTTGAAAATGAAGAATACTTGCGAAGTCCTTGGTTTTAGCAGAGTTCGATTGTCCAAGCAAAATGGTGCCGTGGCTCTCAGTTCTGGTTAGTTGTTCCTTGGCTGATGTTAAAACGAGAGCTCTCAAATCTGTTTGCAATCTCTTTTTTTATTTGACATTAACCACTAGCCTACAGGGCACTTATACCCCCTTCCTGCCCAGGCCAATTTCCAGCTTTCAGTGCTGTCGCACTTTGAATGACAATTGCGCGGTCATGCAACACTGTACCCATATGACATTTTTATCATTTTTTTGTGACAGATAGAGCTTTCTTTTGGTGGTATTAATCACCTCGGGGTTTTTTATTTTTTCTTAAACAAACCAAAAACCACTGAAAATTTTGAAAAAAAAAAAGTTTTTTCTTAGTTTTTGTTATAAAATTTTGTAAATAAGTGATTTTTCTCCTTCACTGATGTGCGCTAATGAGGCTCCAGTGATGGGCACTGATAGGCTGCACTGATGGACACTGATAGGTGGCACTGGTAGGTGGCACTGATGGGCATTGACAGGCATCACTGATGGGCACTGAAAGGCAGCACTGACACATGGCACTGATATATGGCACTGTTAGGCGGCACTGATGGATGACACTGAAAGACAGCTCAGATGGGCACTGATATGTGGCATTGATGTGCACTGGTATGCGGCACTGATAGGCACTGGCACGTGGCACTGATGGACTTTGACAGGTGGCACTGCTGGGGCTACACTGATCATCAGTGCCCTGATGATCAGTGTACATGTCCCCTCTGCGCAAAGCCGATTACCGGCTCTCCTCTCCTCTCGAGCTATCAGCGTGACAGCTCGAGAAAAGAGAAATGCTGATAACCGGCATTTCCTTGTTTACATGTGATCAGCTGTGATTGGACACAGCTGACCACATGACCGAGCCGACATCTTCAGCTCTTTCCGTGATCGGTGATCCGCTGTGTCCGAGGGACACAGCGCACCGCCGATCGCCGTGTTGCGCGCTCCCCAAGCATGCGCGGTGAGAATGGGAGCACGTCAAATGACATCCTCTCAGAACAAGAGAACCACCTTGCACCCGTCATTGGACTATATGGCGGGCAGGAGGTGGTTAAGGGAGTTGTTGGCAGAGACGATCTGACCAATCATCTGGTTTAAGGGATGAGTGCTGGGAGGTCACCCCGTTTATGACCAAGTCCAAAATACAGTTTTATACTAATATTAATATCTACCACTATGTACAGGTTGCATTCTGGAAACTGGTAGATTATTGTTCAGTACTATATTTCATATCCAGGGATACCAAACACAGTATTTCAGATGGGTCTGTCACCCAGGAGATAGGAGACTGCTTTCTTCCCTTTCGATGTGCTAGCTTAGTCATGTATGACCTTGATTTGTTTGGCTTGATATTCCCCATTTGAATATATATTTAATATTAATGTGTCTTGGTCCTGTAGGATTTTATGAATTGTATGTGGATTTTGTTAAGTTGTGAATTCGGCAGATGTCTCAGAGAGGTCACCCACACCTGGCTTCTTTCTTGATAGACGTTTTATGGCTTGCTATGTATTCCTAGAGCTTTAACTGCCCTACACATCATGTGTGACAGAAGGATGGATTTTGTCATTGTTTTACGATAGGTTAGAGCAGGGGTGTCCAAACTTTTTTTTCAAAGAGGGCCAGATTGGATGAAGTGAACATGGTGGAGGGCCGAACATTTTTCCAAACATTCTTTGAACCATTACAATTAAATGCAAATAAATTATTTTATGCCAAGTTAATTGCAAACGACATACTTTTCATTTCATAACATTAAGATCAACTGACAGCTGAGTTTTCACAATGTATTGAAAATAAATAAAAAAAAAAAAAAAAAAAAAAAAAAAAAAACTTACCTGCACTAATGTGAAGGGTGAAAAAGGTAGCTGGAGCTGAAGTCTCTGCTCGGCAGCCGGGAGGGGAAGAGAAACACACTTCACGCTGGAAGCCCAGCCCTGACGTCACCGCCCTCTGTCGCTCCCAGCGCGGCGCAGTCACGCATGCGCACTGCTCTCAAGCAGAAGACTGTCTGCCACAGAAGGGAGGGCCGTGCGAGACAGCCGCATTTACACAGACCAGGGAGAACGTGCCGCAGTCAGGCATGCGCACTGCTTCTGCTCTCAAGCAGAAGACTGTCTGCCAATGAAGGGAGGGCCGTGGAAGGGCCACATAACACAGAGTAGGGAGGGCTGTTGGAGGGCCGTATTAAACCGACCCGCGGGCCGGACTTTGGACATGCCTGGGTTAGGAAAGTGTTTTTTATGGTCTGTTAAAACAGGCATCATGCAGGCCTCAATTAGTTTACAGCTCTGACCAAGGCCTGCGTGCTGGTGTCTGATGTCCCTAGGTTGAGATGACAGATTCTTCTGAAGTGTGTTAAACGTGTTTCAGGGAAAGTCACCACAGTGGAACTTTGACTAGGATCCTAAGGACCTGATGATGGCGCACACGTGCCCCTTCCTGCTGTGATTCTAGAAGACACTGCTTATTCTAAAGTGAATTTACAATAATGCAACTGGGGCTTGTGACAATAAAAACACTTAACCCACCAGATACAGCACCCCACCATACAAAACTGTAATCCAGCATTTAGCAGCTATCACAGCCCAGACAGCAAAAACGTGCAGCACTAAAGCAGGAGCCAGACTGCCACTTGTCACCCACACACCTATCAAGGACTCACGTACCCAAAAGGATAGCCTGCTCTGTGTCGCTTCTAGCAGACTCACAGGAGCCCCACATGCAAGACATTAATCACCTAAGTAAGATGCTACCCACAGCTTCTGGCTGCATCTGCGCATGCCATGTGCACTCCTGTCATGCGCACCTGCAAAGAAAACCATTACAGCACATGTGGGGCATTCAGCGAGCGGGCCTGGACTACTGCAGCCTTTCACTGGAAACAATAAGAAATGGTTATAAACCTTATAATTCAACCTTTAAATGGTGTCTGAATGTACCAAAACCACCATCCAGATTAAATCATTGCGCCTATGTATATAAATGTTGTATTAAAATAGGTGCTGCTATTATATATCCACTAAATTAATAACCACACTTTGTGATAAATAAGTAAATCAATAAATAAAAAACACAAATAATAGCGCAACCCACACCTCAAAATTTGATTAAATTAATTAAATAAATCAATGAATTGAATAAATATTATTAATTAAATTAATCCACCACCGTGCATGTGCACAAATAATATATCATTAATTAAATAATTATATAAACCCTCATAAAGTCCATTCACAAAAGTCCATATATATTCCAATATGATCCTCAATAAATGAAGTTATGGTATCTTCCTTCACCAATGTGACATTCAGTGCTTTAACACCCCATCAAAATACACTTACCAGATACTGGTGAAAAACCAGCATATCTGTATATAACCAGCACTCCACCACTGAGTTCCAGCTTATGGATATCCGTAATACTCCACAGTAACCATGTAGGTAAAAGAGACAATCGCCACAGTGCAAATAATGTTTTCAGATTTATTCCAATTAATTCCCCCCTTAAAACTGCACTCACAATGAACAGTAATAAAACAGCGTTTGTTCCTATGACGAAAACGCTTTAGGGTGTGGCTATCCGGTGACGTCACCATGCACGCCATGCATTCTCGGCTCCGGACCACGTGATCGCAACAACGCCATCTTGGTTGCAGGCAGGCTGGTGAGACGCTGGATAGAGAGCTCTTTACTCTTGTGTAACAAACACTGTTTTATTACTATTCATTGTGAGTGCGGTTTTAAGGGGGGAATTAATTGGAATAAATCTGAAAACGTTATTTGCACTATGGCGATTGTCTTTTTTACCTACATGGTTACTGTGGCGTATTACTGTTAAGGACCTGCCGGCGGTAGCCTCTAGCGTTCCACAGACCGGAATTCCGCAAGGAGCGGAATCTAAGCCCCGACCTGCTTGTTCACCAGAGCCCCTGATGGTAGGGATGGACTTGGAGAAGGCCGAAACCAGGTCGCGGCCCCTGGGTGCACCCAGCTGTGGTAGAAGCACTACCGGAGGTGTATAGCAGGTGACAGCCTGATGTAAGGAGGTAGAGAGAGCGGAGTCGGGCAGGCCGGGTCGGTAGAGGCAGAATGGTACAAAAACAGTAGACAGAAGGATAAACTGGTCACAAGCCGGGTTCGGTAACAGGAGATCAAAACGTACAGGATTAGACAGGAGAATGGTCAGACAAGCCAGGGATCAAAGCAGGAGACAGTCAGCAAATCAAGGTCAGGCAGGGTCGGAAACAAGGCAATCTAATTCAGAAAACACAGGATACAGGTAAGACCATACGGCAACTAGAGGATAGACCTGCAGACCAAAAAGGGATTTGTGAAAAGAGATTCACAGAAAAGCGGCTACATTATGAACAGAATGCGATACTCAGAAAAATTTCCAAAAATTATGCTTTATTACACATTAATGATTGACACTCGGGCAATCGCCCTGGTTTACCATCACCCCAGTATGAGACAATACATACAGACCTAAAACCATTAAACCATTAGAGCATAGACCTGACCTGTTTAAATAGGGTGCCCTGATTGGTGCCAGGCATGCGTCCGCGATTGCGAGTGCGCATGTGCAACCGCCGCTGCCGTCGCGGGTGTCAGGTCCTAATGCTCATACGCTAGTGTGGCCCGGCATACCGCGCATATGCAGACCCGTGCACCGCAGAAAGATCTGGGGTCCCTGACAATTACGGATATCCATAAGCTGGAACTCAGTAGTGGAGTGCTGGTTATATACAGATATGCTGGTTTTTCACCAGTATCTGGTGAGTGTGTATTTTGATGGGGTGTTAAAGCACTGAATGTCACATTGGTGAAGGAAGATACCATAACTTCATTTATAGAGGATCATATTGGAATATATTTGGACTTTTGTGAATGGACTTTATGAGGGTTTATACAATTATTTAATTAATGATATATTATTTGTGCACATGCACGATGGTGGATTAATTTAATTATATTTATTTATTCAATTCATTGATTTATTTATTTAATTAATTTAATCAAAATTTGAGGTGTGGGTTGCGCTATTATTTTGTTTTTTTATTTATTGATTTACTTATTTATTACAAAGTGTGGTTATTAATAAGAAATGGTTACCTCCAACAGGAATTCCCCAAACATGCCAAAAGACAAAACCAAATAGGAACACATACACAGTACAGATATAGTGCTCCCGATGACCTCTAATGACAAAAAGTGACAAGACAAAGATTGTGGATACCTGGCCCTGCCAAGCTGTCATTGCTGTGGCTGCATAGGCAGTATTTCGCTTTGCATAAGATCATAAAAAGGCTCCTAAGCGTAGCCAAATCCTCTGTTTGCCCTAAGGAAATTAAGGTTTTAAAAGATACATCCTTCTTTCCTTTGGTTATCTCTTTCTTTTCAAAGAGAAAAAAAGAAAAGGGCAAATTTACCAATCCCGCCGCAAGACTCCACTCACCCATTAGGGTGGATCTTCTCACTTAAGGACCTTCAAGGAAAATGTCTCCCTATGTTTCTGGCATCCACTCCCTTGGACCTGTAAAACAACTTGCTGGAAGAACCCCTTGGTAATTTAGTAAAAATGCACAGGGATCTGTAATGCAGGGAACAGCGCCAAAAAAGTTGAATGACAGGCAAAACCTCATTGAGTCCTCCGTCTTCCATCCGAGGCTCGTGTACCATTGATTTTAGCGTACAGCCATCCAAATGGATCTGATTAACTAGTTCCTTGATCCCTATTAGAACCATTTTTCAGACCAAACAACATTCTCATAGAGAACTGAACTTCAGTGACCATCACCTTCCAGACCTTGGCGTTAAAACTGAGGTACTTCCTGTGCAGGAGGGGTCCCGTGATGTACAATAAAGAAATGAATATTGCCTGGCTTTGAACATTTCAGCACTGAGCCATTTCTATAGATTCTGCTGCACTAAGAGTATAGTTTTCTCAACACTCCCTTCAGATATCTGGTTACATTGGAGGTCACTAATCAGCAGTTTTCATTATTGATATGGGATTCTGTTACGATATATTGCATGCCTCTTTTAGCAACAGAATTTGCTTACCAGTTCTTTATACTCATTGTGTATCTCTGTGTATGATAACTTATTTTCTTCATCATCATCATCAAAAACTGCAAAAAGAAAAAAAAAAACAAAAACAATTTATAATGCAGAATTGGAACTACTAAATAGATGTCTCCAAGTCGTTAACACAGATTACTATGGTAAAGAGCTAAACATACAGAACATCCTACTATACAAGATTTTCAAATCCAGAGGCTTAGTAGAACAACCTACTGCCCAGGTTTAGCAGAAGACTGAACAGCCATAATACAGATTTTCTCCTTTTAGCAGAAATAAAGAGAAATGTTAATATTATTGATACGCTCATAATTTGGTGTTCAATGGAGAAGACAAAATGTTGATAATTCTAGACTTGAATAGACTTGGAGATACCTCACTGGTGGGGCAAACTATTAGGGCCCATGCACACTGGGCATAAAAAAATGCTGAAAAAAAAAAAAACCTTCAGAACATTTTTTGAGAAGAGCTTTCAGGCAGAAAACATGCTTGACGCTCACAAACGTGGAATTTAGGAACATTCGGCAGTTTCAAGTGTACATTAACAAATGAGCAGAGGGGAATGTTTTGTAAAAAAACGCTTGTAAAAGCAAATGCCCATAAGGTCTTGTGCAATATGAGCCACCATGAACATTTTTATGCCGCTTTTTTCTGCCCCTGGTGTGCATGGTCCCTTAAGTCCTCATGTACATGGGACATTTTTACAGCGGCTGTTTTTGGCTTTTGATGTTTTTTTTCTACAGCCAGTAAACCCCCAGCATGTTATCCTATGTGTCCATGTACACATAGACTGTAATCAACGTTTTTTGGCTGGAAAAAAACCCAGGACTAGAGGGTTTCTAGAGGAGTTTTTTAGCTGGAAAAACACTGAGGTTGCAAAATGTGGTACAATTCTGCAAACCGGCGTTTTTGGATGTTTTTTTGACCAAAAAAAACATTTTTTAAAATAAAAAATGCTAAAAACGCAAAACACGGGAAAATGCAGCTAAACGTGGCTAAATGCTAATGCAAAACGCTAAAAAAAAGCTGAAAACCTTGTGATCTTAACATGACTTTACACAGCTAACGTTACCAGCGTTATCAAAACACCCCGTGTGCATGGAGCCTAAAGGATCCTCACACACTTTGCAACTTTTTCTCATTTTCTTACTTCAGAAGGAATATGTTTAACTACTTCCCGCCCGCCCACAGTACATTTACTGTGGGTGGGCGGCACGGGCAGGATGAATCGTGTACATATACGTCGTACAGCCTGTTTCGGGATAGGGGCACGCATCTGCTGCTAAGCCCCGCTGTCACTGGCTACAGCAGGATTTTGTCAGCAGGTCCTGACCAATGAGTTATGGCTGAGACCTGCTGATCACCTGTAGCCAGTCACAGCACAGAGCCCTGTGTTTACAAACACACAGGGCTCTGTACACAGATCAACAATCTGGCTGTTTCTTCTCCCTGCAATGCAGGGAGAAAAACTGCCAGATCTGTAAGTCAAAGCAGCCCATATTACACACATCCACTTGTTAGGCGCACAGTTAACCCTTTAATTGCCCCTTGATGTCAACCCCTTTACAGCCAGTGTGATTAATACAGTGTACAGTATTAGCACTGATCACTGTATAAAGCTGGCATACATTATACAATTTTCTTATTTAATTTCCTTTAGATTTATCTTCAACTGTGTAGTGCAAGGGCCTGCCTGATTGCATACAAATTGAAAGTGTTTAGGTTTGACCTCATATTATATGGTTTTGGTAAATCTAAAGGAAAACTGAACAAGAAAATTGTATAATATATGGCCAGCCTTAGTGTCACTACTGATGTCAGTGTCAGTTAGTGTCCTTCCTAGCCAGCATCAGACTGCCCACCATACTATTACAGTCCCACTATAAAAGTCGCTGATCACCGCCATTAGTAGTATTAGTAGTAAGTAGCATTAAAGCTGCTTAAATTCCAATATATACCACAGTTTGTAGACACTACAACATTCACATAAACCAGTTAATACATTATCGTGATTTTATTTTACCAAAGACATGTAGCAGAATACATTTTGGCCTAAATATATAAAGAAATTAGATTTTTTTACTTTTTTATATTGGATATGTCTTTATAACAAAAAGTAATATATATATATATATATATATATTTTTTTTTTAAATGTTCTTTTTTCGTTTATATATTATAAAATAAAAACTCAGTGGTGACCAAATACCGCCAAAAGAAAGTTCTATTTGTGGGAAAAAATGATATAAATTTAATTTGGGTAGTGTTGCATGACCGAGCAATTGTGGGTTAATCCTCTGCATTGTGTGCAAATGCGGTTTTATCCTGTCTTCTCTGATCCTCCCCTTTTTCCAGTGCCCCTCTCTTAACTCCTGATAAGACATATTGTGTGGAGTCACTCTGCACATGCACAGTTTGGTGTGTATTGCTAGAGAGGTTTTTTTTTTCTTGGGAAAGTGCATGTTATCAGCACAGGGCCAATCAGCACTGTCCAGACAGAGGTCAGGGGTTCTACATCCTCTTAGAGCAAAATGAAATCTCCTCCTGCAAGCTTTCCCGTGCTCTGATGGACACTGATAGAAGTCACAAGACTGCTATATACTGCTGATGAAAAAAGGAATTTAGAGCTGAATAAATTGGCCTTCTGTATAATAAGAAAGAATTCCCCACTCCTAAAAAGACTGATGTATGGTATTACCAAGTTCCTGTATGCTTTATTCTATGGTCACTGCTAATCTGTTTAGATTGTATCCGTGCTTGACCTTGCGTTCTCCGTCATTCAGCAGTGGTAGGTGGACAGAGAACGAGATGTCCAGACTGAATGCATGCAAGATTAGTGTCAGTGGGTGGAACTATAACATCTGCCATAGCATGAACAAGATTTCTTTGCCAAGTAAGATCAGTGTGTATACAGTACAAAGGCTAAATTGAGCTTTCGTTCTGTGGTATTTAAACTTGACACTTTTACCCCCTTCCTGACCAGGGCAATTTTCAGCTCTTTTAGCGCTATCACACTTTGAATGACAATTGCGCGCGGTCCATGCAACACTGTACCCAAATTAATTTTTTACCATTTTTTTGAGATAGATAAAGCTTTTATTTTGGTATTTATTCATGGATTTGTATTTTTTTTTGCTATGTAAATGAAATGTCCAAAAAATTTTGAAAAAAGAGTGTTTTTTTATAAAATTTTGCAAATAAATCCTCATCATATCTTAGGCGTTTTCTTTTTAGTAAAAAAAAAAAAATCCAAATTAGTTTATAAGCAAAAATTTCACCATTTTTTTTTACATTTTTATTTTATTTTTTTTTTATAATTGTTTTTTATTTTTATTTTGATTTTTTGGTACTGTCACCCAGCAGTTGTCACCATGGTGACACTGTACTACTTTGCAGGGGTAGGATGACAGATTTTTTTTTTTTTTTTTTACACTGATTGCTTTTACACCCATATAGGATGTAAAAGCAATCATTTCTCTTTCTCTCTGTGTGCATTCATGCACTCATTGAGAAGAACTGAGTGAGCTGTGATTGTCACATCCTGTCACATGGTACAAGGCTTTTGTGAATAGGCTTGTACCATGTGACCTCTGTGATCATTCACAGATTTCACACATAGTAAGCAATGATGTCACAAGTGACATCTTGCTTGTACTTTGCATGTGGTGGAAGCTATCACATGATCTGACCTCCATAGGTCCCAGGAATCAAGTGTTTCTTTGCACAGTAGCAAGATCAGTGTGCTTATACAGTACAAATGGCCGTTTATTGACGGCCAGCTTTCGTGCCACCGTGGCCGTTTATATGCCTGTGCATTTTTTTTTTTTTTTTTTTTTTTTTTAATTTTCAAAAATCTAATTTTGTCATAAATTTAGGCCAAAACGTATTCTGCTACATCTTTGCTTAAAAAAAATCCCAATACGTGTAGATTAATTGGTTTACGTGAAAGTTATAGCGTTTACAAATGGCGGTATAGATACTGGAATTTTTTTTTTTTTTTAAGTATTTTTACTAGTAATGGCAGCGATCAGCAACTTAGCGTGTGACTGCGGTGGACATTCTGACATGGGGGGAACTGACTTAGTGTCACTGACATCCCCAGTGACACCAATATAGTGATCAGTGCTAAGAAAAAAGCACTGACACTGTACTAATGGCACTAGGCAGGAAGGTGTTTTATACTATGGGACAGTGTCTGTGTGCTTCACTGTAAGACCACTGCTTTGGGTGGCTGTGCACAGCCATCCAAAGCAGTGTGCCCGAGGAGACAGAGAGAACTGTTAGTAAACATAACAGTTTCTCCTCCCCATCAGAGATGCTCGATAAACACTGGGTGCCAGCGAGTAATCACCGGTCGGGACTGCCCCTACCCAGAAATGCTAAATCACATATATACACACATGTGATTTTGCGCACCCATGCCGCCCTGTAGCAATATTTCTGCTATAGGGCGGTCGGGAAGCAGTTAAAATATAACTAAAAGCAAAACTTTTTATTTTTAGTTTTGGATAGAGTGGAGTGAGATTAGAACACCTGCAGTGTTTATTGCTGAATGTGCCACAGTTAAGGAGATTCATCGTCTCTATCCTGTTTACCATTATCATGGAAAATTAAATTAAATCCCAAATTTGGAGTTATCCCTAGAAAAGTAACAGAGGTTCAATCTTCCACTGGGGACACTATTTCTGGGGGACACAGGGGTCCCCAAGGAATTCCTTTAATTTGCAGAGATTATGCTCACTTCCTGTTTGGCTATGGGACGGCAAGTGAAGGAAAAGCTCTGCAATAGGACACAGATGGCGAAAAAAAAAAAAAAAAAAATCTGACAGGGCTAATAAACCTCCTTTACTCTATCCAAAATGTAAAAAAAAAAAAATAGATAAAAAACGTGTTTTGCCTATAGTTTGTACTTTTGAACAAAAATAATAAATGCACATTTTTTGCTGGTAAAAAAAATTTGTATATTATTTTTGTCCAAAAGGAGTCCAAAAGGAGCCTGCAAAGCATGGCACCACCAATCAGGAGATGGTCAGAAACTGCAAAATAATAC